TATCTATCTATCTATCTATCTATCTATCTATCTATCTATCTATCATCTATCTATTTATCTATCTATCTATCTATCTATCTATCTATCTATCTATCTATCTATCTATCTATCTATCTACCTACCTACCTACCTACCATCTATGTCTAATGTATGTATACGTATCTAATGTCTCTATGGAACTGCTTGGTTAGGCTAACCAACAGCTAGCACGGACATGGGTCAGGTGTCTCTTTCCTTCTGGCTTCTTTTGACCATTCGAGATAGTTGAGGGTCACCACGTCTGTCCTTCTTTGTCTTCCCCTCCCCCACCTTTAGGGTGACTGGGTGTGGCTGAAAAGATTCCCTGGAGGGAAGTACGCTGAAGTCAAACCAAGCACCGAAAAGGTCTTTTGCCAGGTGAGTTCTGAAGAGCTTTCCTGCAAAAATTAGTCCGTCACTCTTTTTTGAGCCCTAAACTCTTTTAATGACCCCCCATCATAATCCCTTGCATTGGGGTGGAGTCTTGGGCAACTGAGCGGAGCTGAGCATTTTATTGGCCGGATGCCCTTCCTGTCGCCAGGGCGGATTTCTGTTCAGCTGATAAATTCTCATTGTGTCCAGAAAGAGAAACGTCTCTACCTCTGCCTCGGATCGAACTGACAGGTTCCTGATTGTGAGGCCAGAGCTCCACCTTTAGGCCACTGCACTACTCAAGTTATAAAGTGAGCCCTATCTAATAGAAGGTAGAGTTGGAAGGGATCTTGGAGGTCTTCTAGTCCAGCCCACTGCTCAAAGAGGGGACTCTCTACCATTAGGGGGCCAGGGATGGGGAAGGACGTGAGAGATGATCATTCCTGGTTGATGTGTCACAGTGGCTTCTTCAGCCATTCCCCAAACAGGCAGTCCGCGACTTACAACACTTCATCGAGTGACCATTCGAAGTGACAACGGCGCTGAAAAAAAATGGACTTATGACCCTTTCCCACGCTTATAACCATTGCAGCATCCCCGTGCTCATGTGAGCGAAACTCAGGCGCTTGGCAACGGGCTCGTATTTATGACGGTCGTCGCGTCTCCTTTTGCAACCGTTGGACGAGCAAAATCAATGGGGATCAATAGCTGGCAGGAATAGCTAACACCCAAGAAGATCGGCTCAAGATCCAGAGGGATCTTGACAGACTCGAACCCTGGGCCGTATCTAATAAAATGAAATTCAGTGTAGAGAAAAGTCAAGTCCTACACTTAGGCAAGAAAAACCCAAAGGACACACATAGACTGGGTGAAACCAGGTTCAATAGCAGGAACTGTGAGAGGGATCTTGGAGTCTTAGTGGACAACCAGCTAAAGAGGAGCCAGCCGTGTGCAGCAGCAGCCAAAAAAGCTAATGCAATCCTAAGATGCATTAACAGAGGGATACAATCGAGATCAAGGGAGGTACTAATACCACTCTATAAAGCCTTAGTAAGACCACACCTAGAGTACTGCATCCAGTTTTGGTCACCACACTTATAAAAAAGATGTTGAGAGTCTAGAAAAAGTGCAGAGAAGAGCAACCAGGAGGATTAGGGGACTGGAGACTAAAACATACGATGAACGGTTACAGGAACTGGGCTTGGCTAAGTCTAGTAAAGAGAAGGACCAGGGGAGACATGATAGCATCTTCTAATATTTATGGGGCTGCCACAGAGAGGAGGAGGGGGTCAAGCTATTTTCTAAAGCACCTGTAGGCCAGACAAGGAATAATGGATGGAAACTGAACAAGGAGAGATTCAACCTGGAAATAAGGAGAAACTTTCTGACAGGGAGAACAATCAACCGAATAGAACAGAAGTTGCCCTCAGAAGTTGTGGGAGCTTCATCCCTGGAGGCTTTCAGGAAGAGATTAGACTGCCCTCTGTCAGAAATGGTGTAGGGTCTCCCGCTTGGGCGGGGGGTTGGACTAGATCACCTACAAGATCCCTTCCAACTCTGATTATCTGTCATCTTTATCTGTTACCACTCACTTAGCAACCACATTACTCACTTGACAATGGCCATGACTCACTGAACAACGGCGGCAAGGAAGGTCATAAGATGGGGCAAAATTCACTTAACGATGGTCTCGCTTAGCAGGGGAAAGGTGAAACTCGACTGCAGGTTGTAAGTCAAGGACTTACCTGTATTATCACCCTGCTCTGGCTCGTTGGTCCAGAAATTTCTGCCAAGAGGTAGCATGGTGAATGTGAAGGATCACATTAAATTCCAGTTAAGCTGGTTTATTGCTCATGTTTATACACAAGGATCTAATCAGCTAATAGTCAGCGCTAAGTTGACCCTAGGTAAGAGTTAATAGAATTCAAGAGTGCTTGAACCGCTTATGGGAATGTAATGACTCCAGGCTAATTCCTTTCTTTACTCTGCCTCCAGGACGTGTCTCCCCTTCCCTACACTCAGGGATTCGCAGGGGTTTGAGAGACCCCCCCCCTAGTGTCAGGATTCCGACAGTTACCCCAATTAAATCACGAGTCTCGAGCCAAACTTCCAAAACCTCAAAAGGATTTATTGGGAGTTAACATGCCGGCACTGCCTGGGTGCAGCCGACTCTGAGACCCATCATTCATTGTCACCCTTGACCCTGGTTTCCCCCCTCCCACCCCCTGGGTGTGTCATAATTCATATTCTCCAATGGGACACATTCATAGCCCAGAGTTATCAATCACGCTCTCCAGTTAGATCTTTGCTCGGCAAGAAACTTCAGTCACCTAATTATTATCTTTGTGAAAACATTTATAGAATGCAGTTTCGGTTTGCAAGCTGCCACATTGTCCCCCCCCCCCCTTACTTTCTGTTGGCAACTCTAAAAAGACCAGAGAAATATTTTATGAGTTGATACCTAGCTAAGATTCTGTGCAGTTTGGAGAACCCCTAAATCCCACCCCTGGCCCACCCCACCCTGCTTCTCCCAGGAGTCCCCACGTGGCCCGTTTTGGATGCAGGTAAGCAGAGGACCCACATGGAGGCTCGGGAAGGACAAAAAAACAGGCTGAACTGGAAGTTTGGGCCCATTTTCCGTTTCCAGAGAGCCTCTGGAGCCCGGGGAGGCCGACTAGGCCACACCCGCCATGGTCACGCCCACCCAGCAACCTAGCAGAGAACCCTTTGCTAAAATTTTTGAATCGTGCTCTCCAGTAATAATCTTGCGTGCCAACAGCTTCGACTGCCAAGGCGATTATCTGAAGCATTTAAGGAGTGCACTGCTTTCCCGCACTCCTTTTCTTCTGGCAACTAAAAAGACCAAAGAGATATTTTTTTAGTTGACACAAGGGGTGCAGAATTGCCCCGGTTTGGGGCCTTCGCCACACCACTAAGTTGGGGCCTTCTCCTCACCATCCTCGGGCCAGTAGAATTTCAACCACCACCCCTTGGCGGCCTCTGTTCTCTTACGAGAGAAGCCCCGATGAGGCCACCAAGATTTTTATTCCACCTTAAGGCTGCTCCCAGACTGCGGCGGAACATAGTCTGGATTCCTGGGAGGGAGGGGCCGCGTTCTAGAGGACCAAGAGACAGGAAAGTTTAGATAGCTTGTTTAGGGAGGAAGAGTCGAGATACCTCCTAGAAGTTCTCAAAATCTATCTTTGACAAATGCAAGCAGTTGCTTCAGCTTAGCTGGATTTCTGTCTATAGTTGAAGAGCAAAGAAGGAAACTGGTTAGAAGTAACTCTGTGTGTCTTTCTTGGTTTCTTGGACAGTGTTGTAGTAAGTGGGGAGGCGCTACTCTAATCTCAGGGCCATCAGGGAAGCCTTAAGACTCTTTAAGCAACAGACTGAGGTTCAGTTATACAGACATGAAATTAAAAATGGGTTGCTATAGGACAATGGTAATTAGAAGCAGGTAGAGCAAGGTCTTCTGCAATGGTAGTTAGGAAGAAGTAGGGACAAGAGCTTAAGACAGAGAAGAAGGTCTTCTACAAAGGCCATAAGAAACATGTAGAGACAAGGCAAGATGGAGAAGGTCCTCTAGAAAGATCATTAAAAGCATGTATAGACAATAGCTTAAGACAGAGAAGAAGGACTAGCATATAGGGACAAGGCCTTAAGATAGAGAAAGTCTTCCACCAAGGTCATTAGAAGCACATAGAGACAAGAGGTTAAGATGGAGAAGATCTTCCACCAAGGTCATTAGAAGCACATAGAGACGAGGACTTGAAGGTCTTCAGAAGGTCTTCTGACAGAAGGAACGAGGAAACTTTTCTAGCCATTCCCGCCATACCTGGCTGAGGAAGGACTCTCCCTTCTTATTCTCTTTTTATTCTTCCCCGTATTCAGCTGCGGGACCTGCGGCACGAAAATGTCAACCTTTTTGTGGGCTTCTTCCATGACGCCGGGATTCTTGCTGTGGTCTCGGAGCACTGCACGCGAGGGAGTCTCGAAGATCTTCTCCGTAACGACGACATGAAGCTGGACTGGATGTTCAAGTCATCTTTGCTGCTGGACCTTATCAAGGTGCCCGGGAAAGAGATCTAGCTCTTTGTTCTGACCCAGCCCCCCCAGATATGACAAACCCTCTGAAGTGACATCAAATGAGGACCTCCGGCAGCCCCAGCCAAAAATTTTCTCTCTCACCGCAGGCTAACAAGTCCGTCTGTGCGGGAGAGGACTAGTTGTCTGCCACATTTTGTTCATCTCTGTCCCTACCTTTATCCGCAGATCTAGGGTGGGGCTTTGTTAGCAGCAATGACTTTTCCGTCCCAAGGACCAGCCCATAGATTTCCACTGCTCTCCTCTCCTCTGCCTTCTGTGCATCTATGTGCACTGGAACCAGCTGTTCCTCTTTTACCTCATCACCCACAGGGTTGATGGACGGCTCAGGCTCCGCCTCTCTCTCTCTCTCTCTCTCTCTCTCTCCTTTCCTCCCTCCTTCCCTCCCTCCCCCCCTCCCTCCCTCCCTCTCTCTCTCTCTCTCTCTGCCAACTCCATTCCCTCTTCCCCCTCAGAGATCTCAGGTTGCCCTGAGTTGCTGGAGGGTCCAACAAGCCACAGCACTATTTTGAGATCCAGTTTAGGAGTAAAATGAGGTTGGGATAAGGATTCTTCACTCGCTTTGAGAAATTGGGTTGGTGGCCTTCGAAGTTGGTAGAAGCGGACAACTTTGGGAGCATCAAGGATGAGCCAGCTAGAGAATTCGTGGATCTTTCCTTCAGTCGTCACCGGAGGACTTGAAGGAAGACCCACTGATAAGTTAAAATATGGTTTAAGTCTGACCAGAATGTCTTATTCCTGAGACTATGATTTGTGTAGACCCAGGTTAGTCCTCCTTTAGTGACTGTAAGAATAGGTAGTCCTCCTTTAGCGACCGCCTTGTTCAACAACAGTTCATAGTTACAGCTATCAGGATTCCAGCACTTAATCATGGGTCTGGAGCCAAAACTTTGAAAGGATTTATTGGAAGTTAAAAGGTCCGGCACTGCCTTGGTGTAGGCAACTCTGAGACACATAGTTCATTGTCACCCTTGACCCTGGTTTCCCCCCCTCCCACCCCCTGGGTGTATCATAATTCATATTCTCCAATGGGACACATCCACAGCCCAGAATCATCAATCATGCTCTCCAGTTAGTATTTTGCAAGGCAGAAACTTCAGTCACCTAGTTACTATCTCTGAAAAGCTATTGATGGAATGCACTTTCGGTTTCCAAGCTGCCGCGCTGCTCCCCCTCCCTTTCTGTTGGCAACTGGTAAAAAAAAACCATAGAAATATTTTATGAGTTGATAACAATGTTGATGGTAAAATAACTTCGCAACCAATCCTCATATAGGCTGTCCTCGACTTACAACAGTCCATTTAGTGACCGTTCGAAGTTCAAAAGGCACTGAAAAAAGGGACTTATGACCGTGTTTCACACTTACAACCATTGCAGCCTCTCCGTGGCCACGTGATCAAAGTTCAAGACACTTGGCAACTGACTCGCATTTACGATGGTTATACAGTGTCCCGGGGTCACAATGGGGAAGCCAGATTCACTTTACAGCCATGTTACTCATTTAACATTGGCAGTGATTCATTTAACAACCGTGGCAAGAAAGGTAATAAAATGGGACAAAATTCACTTAACGGTTGGTTTCCCCTTTGCAACATAAATTTAGGGCTCCCTTGTGGTTGTACGTCAAGCACTAGCTGTCATGACAGCCTCCACGGCTGCGAAACGCAAAGGGAAACTAAGGATCGTGCTTTCGTTTCACTTAAGGACTCAAGTGACCAGTGCTTGACTGGGGGTCGCTCAACGAGGACTCCCTGCATTGCGACGTGCCTAAGACCCACTCAACCTCTTCTTTTTTTCTTCCAGGGCATGAAGTATTTGCACCACCAGGAATTCCCCCACGGCCGTCTGAAGTCTCGGAATTGCGTAGTGGACGGCCGTTTTGTCCTGAAAGTCACGGATCACGGATACAACGAATTGTTGGAGGCGCAGAAAGTGGTCCGAGAACCGACGAAGCCAGAGGGTCAGTAGAAGAAAAACGGGAATGAGATGGGCAGATAAAATATCTCTAGGCTATATCATCTGACAAGAATTTGCTTAGTGACCCTTTGAAATTGCAAAAAAGTCACCCAAGACCGTTTTTCAAACCTGCAACGGTTTATGGCATCCCGGGGGCCACACGATCCAAAATCTGGTTGGCTGGTTCAACTGCTTTTATGATGGTTTGTGTATGTTCTGTCCCCACTACACGTTAGTCTGTATGAAGCTCAACGTGCAGCTAAACCCATCTATCCTCCGATAAAACAGACCGTGTACGTGCATTTGGATGCTTTATTGGAAGAACAGGATATGGTGAAACTGGGGGAAAACAAGGATACATACAATGAGGATAAATACAAGATAGGAAGTATTGGGTTACTGCTGAACATAACAATTAACAAACACAAGCAATTTAAATCTCGCCAGCCATGCTCTGTGTGTGGGATGTGGGTGGGTTCTTGGATGACCACATGCCACGGATTAAGATGGACGCTTCCTTGTGTTTCTGCCTCCTCCGAAATGTTAAAGGAAATGGAGTCTGGCTTCCCAGCATGCACTTTTTTTGAGAGTGTGGGTGGATGGGTAAATGGGTGGGATCAGCTTCAAACAATATACTTGGGGCATATTTGTCTCTCTGGCCACTAGATGGGGCTAGAGGGCAACCACAGTATATAAAGTTGTATGCTGGAGCACAACAGTTTTCATTTAGAAAACAGAATGAATAGAACAACAGAGTTGGGAGGGACCTGGGAGGTCATCTAGTCCAACCCCCCAATTTATTCCACCAGACCGTTTCTGGACCGCACCAGAATTGTTGAGGAATCCAGCGCTGGAACGGAAAGGCAGCTTCCGGGGAGACATTTACAGTATTTCCATCATCATTCAAGAAGTCATCTGCCGCGACGCGCCTTATTGTATGCTGGATATGAGCCCCGAAGGTATTTAAGAAGGGAGCGATGATGGATTGAGCCGTGGTGGGTTGTCCTCTCCTTGCCAGGGTTCAGGGGTTCGAATCCAGAAGAACTTGCGTCCTCATGCTCACTTGAATTGTGCAAATGGGTGCGGAGCCTTCTTGGAAGTGCGGAAAGGATTGTGTTGTGGATTCCACACCCATTTGCACCACTCAGGACACAGGCAAACCTCCAAGTGGCATCAGCCGTCTCTCTAAAATAATGCAAATGACCAGCTGCCAGCAAGGAATATAAATCCTTCCATTCCTCAGCATCCACATACAGCTGCAGAAGCTTCTCGGATGAGAAGTGAAACACGTCTCCCAAAGAAAAGCCAGAAAGTCCAGTTGCCTGGACTTTGGGACTTACAACCATCACAACACCCTGTCAGTCACACAATTCGGGTGCTTGGCAACGGTTGTGTTGTATTTCGGATGGTTGCAATGTCCTGGAGTCACATGACCGCCCTTGGTAAAACTTCCCAGCCAGGTTCCAACAAGCCGAGTCAACAGGAGAAGCTGGATTCACTTAATGGCTGCCTGATTCACTTAACAACTGCGGTAATTCACTTAACAACCCGGGGCCAAAAAAAAGGGTCGTAAAATCTGGCACGACTCCTTCAATCCGCATCTTGCTTGCGTAGCAAAGGAAATTCCAGTCCCCATGATAGCCATAATTCAGGAATGGTGCGGTGGCCTAGAGGTGGAGCTCTCGCCTCACAATCAGGAGGCTGTGAGTTCGATCCTAGGTAGAGGCAAAATGAGAGTATATCTGCTGAACAAAACTCCACACTGGCGACAGGAAGGGCATCCGGCCAGTAAACACTCTGCTAGCTCCATTCAGACTCCACCCAGCAAGGGATTATGAGGTCATTAAATGGTGATAATCCTAATTCAAGGACTAGCTTGATAGAAATATTATATTTTTTTCACAATTCCTAATATGAATTGGGCTGTTTCTTTGTTGGGGTCTCCAAGACGGCCATGGGACTTGTGCTGAGGACACCCAGACGAGAACCAACGGGAGCATTTTTGTCTTTGTCTGCTCAGAGATCATCAAGAAGGTGGAGAAACCCCCTCCTCTTTGCCGCCCCTCCGTCTCCATAGACCAGGCGCCGGTAGAGTGTATCCAGCTTATGAAGGAATGCTGGAGCGAACAACCGGACAGGAGACCCCACATCAATCAAGTCTTTGATCAGGTGACTTGAGCCCAGGAGTGGTGGCCAGAGGGGGAAGGAGCCAGCATGCAGGCTAACAAGAGTTGGAAGGAAGGTACCTTAGAGGTCTTCTAGTCCGACCCCCACCCTCCCTGCTCAGGCAGGACACTCTATACCCTTTCAGACGAATGGCTGTCCAGTCTCTTCTTAAAAACCACCAGTGATGGAGCACCCACAACCTAGTGGCAGGCCGTTCCACTGATTAAATTGTTAGGAAATTGTCTCTTTAGTTCTAGGTTGCTTCTCTCCTTTCTTACTTTCCATCCATTGCTAAGTTGTAGCAACGTTTCGGCAGAATCTCATCTGCCATCATCAGGTTTCTGTATTGGGTTCGTCAGATTGTCGGGAGGTGAAAAAGATCTTAAGGAATGACTGGGCAGGCGAGCATCAGGCAAGTGGGCCAAGTGAGTGAGCGGCGACTGGGCAACTGGGCAGTGGGCGTGGACAGCCAGAAGTTACTATAGGTTCGGTGACCCATGCCAAATCCTTGGGACCAGTTCGCATGAACCGGTGCGAACCGGCTGAATATCACCACTGATCTATCTATTATCTCTATCTGTCTGTCTCTCTGTCTGTCTCTCTGTCTGATAGATAGTCTGTCTGCCTACCTACCTACCTACCTGCCATCTTGTTTAGTTTAATGAAAAGAAGGACTTGGGGGGGTGACATGATAGCAATCTTCCAATATTTGAGGGTCTGCCCCAAAGAAGAAGAGGAAGTCGAGTTATTCTCCAAAGCCCCTGAAGAAGGCAGGACAAGAAGCAATGGATGGAAACTCGTCAAGGAGAGAAGCGACTTAGAAATAAGGAGAAATTTCCTGACAGTGATGACAATTAACTGGTGGAACAGCCTGCCACCAGAAGTTGTGGGTGCTCCAACACTGGAGGTTTTCAAGAAGAGACTGGGACAGCCATCTGTCAGAAATGGTCTAGGTTCTCCGGCTTGACCAGGAGGTTGGACTAGAAGACCTCCAAGGTCCCTTCCACCTCGGTTATTTTGTTGTTATCTAATCTCCCTTTACTATATTAAATATATATTACGTACATAATTTAATATTGAGAGATAAAAACAGGGTCGGCTTCTAGATCTCTTCCCTTTCTTCTCCCACAGTTTAAAAGCATCAACAAAGGAAGGAAGACCAACATCATCGACTCCATGCTACGTATGCTGGAACAATATTCCAGCAATTTGGAAGACTTGATCCGGGAAAGGACTGAAGAGCTGGAAGTCGAGAAGCAGAAGACCGACAGGCTATTAACACAGATGCTGCCCCCGTGAGTCTCTCTCGAAATCCAAAAGACCTTCACCCAGGAGGGTGGTTATTCTGTTAGTCAGACCTTGACTTCCTATTAACTTAACTGAACTTAACTTTTAACTTAACTTAACTTTTAACTTAACTTTTAACTTTTAACCTCTTTTAATTTAACTTTTAGCTTAACTTTTAACTTAACTTTTAACTTAACGTAACTTTTAACTTAACTTAACTTTTAACTTAACGTAACTTTTAACTTAACAACTTTTAACTTAACAACCTTTAACTTAACTTTTAACTTTCAACAACTTTTAATTTAACTTTTAATTTTACAATTTTTAACTTAACTTTTAACTTAACAACTTTTAAAATAACTTTTAATTTAACTTTTAACTTAACTCTTAACGTTAATCTATTGAAAAATGCAATATGCTGGCTAAGAATTCCTCTAATCAAGCAATTTTGGAAGCTGTTAGGTTGCCAGAGTGCAATATTTTTTTTTGCAAAATTGCCTAACGTTTATTTGGCATTTTCAAGGCTCAACTGACTTTCTGTTTGCCATCTCTTCAGTTCTGTGGCTGAGGCCCTGAAGACCGGGGCACCAGTGGAACCCGAATATTTTGAAGAGGTGACCTTATATTTCAGCGACATTGTGGGCTTCACCACCATCTCAGCCATGAGTGACCCCATTGAGGTGGTTGATCTGCTCAATGATCTATACACCCTCTTCGATGCCATCATCGGCTCCCATGACGTGTATAAGGTGAAGGCGGATCAGCCATCTTGGTTGTGGGTGGAAGTTAGTTTACAAATGAAGGTCAAATCTATGTGTCCCGGGATAATGTTGCAAAATCCAATCTGAGTCAGTTGCTGGAACCGGAAGTTTTGTCTTCCAAGTGTCAGAGTTCCAAGCAGTGGTGGGATTCAACTGGTATAACAACCGGTTTGCTTTGCGCATGCGCATAGCATTTGAAAACCACCTATACGCAGCTCTAAAACTTACCTTCTGTTGCAGTCCCAGTGAGAAAAACAGCTGTCATGCCCTTGTCGGAGTCTGAATCCGAGGAGGAAGATGAACAGCTGGCAGGGAGTGGTAGTGTGTCTCTGTTGGCTGTGGAGGAAACTGGGGAAGGGCAAAGTCCAGCTGGGCAGAGCAGGGGAGAGGAGAACAAGGGAGAGGGAGTTCAGAGGAAGATCCAGGCCCACCCCCTCTTCATCCTAGGGTACGCAGGGAGGAACGGAGAAGGGAGCAACATGGGTTGCTGGCTTACGGGGGAGGAAAGGGCCCTGATTCCCTTCATTAGCCACACCTGGGAATGAGAATTTAAAAAAATGCATGCTGAGAGCGGCATTTGCCGGGAACAAACGTGAATTTATCTTGTGTTGACTTCGGTTATCTGCGTTCCTGGCATCTTCCCAACCGTGTTGAGTTATTGCCATTCCTTCACGTCTGCAATTCCTTCTCTTGCCCTGTGGCATTAATTACCTCATCTTGCCTTGATTGGACTTACAGTTTGTGTTGACCAAGTTTTGGACTTGATTCTCTGCAGCCAAAGGCTGTTCCTGGGAGAGTTTTCCCCAGCCCAGAAGGTAACCAGGACATTGGGGGCAAAGTTGGAGCTAATAAAGGAACTCCTACTGATTATCCAACTGTGTTGTTGTGCCATGCGCCTGGTCATCACAACAGCTGAGACGCAGCAATTTGCTGTGCCGTGCAAATCAGCTAGGCTGCAAAACACGGAAATAAAGGACGAACTGGGGGCAGGAAAGGGTGGGCAAGGCCAACTAATCACCAGAACTACCGGTTCTCCCGAACCAATTCAAACCGGCTGAATCCTACCCCCTGGTTCCAAGTAACAGCCCAAATGGAATCAAAACTCTAAGGCCAGAGGCTTCCTCAAAGTATACATTTATTGGGCATGTTGTCAGGATTCTGGCAGTTACCCTTATTTAAATCATGAGTCTCAAACCAAACTTCCAAAACTTCAAAAGGATTTATTGGGAGTTAGCATGTCCGGCACTGCCTGGGTGCAGCCGAGACTCATAATTCACTGTCACCCTTGACCTTGGTTTGCCCCCCTCTCACCCCCTGGGTGTATCATAATTCATATTCTCCAATGAGACCCTTCCATAGCCCAGAGTCACCAATCATGCTCTCCAGTTAGATCTTTGTGGGGCAGAAACTTCAGTCGCCTAGTTGCCATATTTGAAAACGTTTATGGAATGCACTTTCAGTTTCCAAGCTGCCGCACTGCTTTTTCCAACCCCTTTCCCCTCTCCCATTCTGTTGGCAACTCTAAAAAGACCGTAGAAATATTTTATGAGTGGACACATGTCACATTGGCACAGCTGGTGAAAACCCGACTCTGAAGTCCCCTGGGTTTTTCCCACCCAATACAAAGTCCAAAGTTCTTCCCCTCATTACACACAACCATCACGTTCCAATCAGGTCACACTTCCCTCCCCTGGTGACTCTCCTCCAGACCCCTGCAGGTGCTGGTGACCTAGGCTTCTCAAAAGCACGAAGCCGGCTCCTCGTCCCAATCAAACCCCTTTTATTTAGGTTAAAGGGAATTCCTCTCCAGCAAAGTCCTGGCCAGCAGTCTTTCAAGAGAGTTCACAACTACAGACCTTTATTAGGCTTAGAGAGTTGCCAGGCCGATATCTTCCAAACGCCACACTGTAGCTGCAATTACTTGGCAAGAACTCAGGAACAGATCTTCATCCTAATGAATCGAACTAATGGTCTTCTGCAAACCCCCACTCCTCTTTATTCCTTCTGGGAGGGGCCATTCACCGTCCACCTCTGCCTTTGCTCCCGAGTCGACCCTTGGCAGCTTCTCCTGGCAGCTCTGTGCATGCGCACACTGGGAAGAGGCTCCAGCTGTTCTTCTGCCCCACTGATCTCTGACTCCATAGGCAGCTGGGAAATGTTGGACGGCCCTGGCCGCGTCTCTGCCTCCGACGCAGAGCCCTCCTCCAAGCCTTCCCCAGACTCCAGGACTGGCCCAGGTTCCTCCCCAACCTTCTCACTGTCCAAATCTGCTGCCAGTTCCGCTGGCCGCTGGCGGGGCACAACAGTGGGAGTGTCCTTAGTTCCCAGAAGAAAGAATGTTATTTTGGCTACATATTCCCCCAGCTATCTCTACTCCCCCTTCCCTTTCCCACAGCTCCATCCAGCCTCGCAATGGCAACCCTGAAGAGGCTTAAAGATGGCTTCAGGGCTCACAGCAAGCTTTCTGACTCGTGCTGGAACCCATCTTCAGGGAACTTCTCTCTGACAAATTGTGTGCTCTGTGTGTGGTATTTATATGGTGTCGGGCATGGCTTCTTAGTTGTCGTTTGGGGTGTTGATGGCGGGCTATTAAGTCATTGGCTGTTGTTTACTTGGGCTGCCAAGCCTCCTAAGTACTTGATAGGTTGGTGGTAAATTAACATTCCTGTTGACTGACGAGGAGCCCTGGCTGTTTTTGTCCTTGCTCGTCTAACAATCTTAGTAGCTGGAAAATTGAATGTCCTTGTTCATTGCAATGGGATAGCTTGGTGGAAGCAGGGATGGGAAAGAACAGAGGACTAGCTGGCTTTGATGCTTGTTGTCTTCAAAGAAGGAACATATAGGAGACATGTTAGCAGTATTCCAGTGTCTAAGGGGCTGCCCCAAAGAAGAGGCAGTCAAGCTATTCTCCAAAGCACCAGAAGGCAGGAACTAGAAGCAACAGATGGAAACAAATCAAGGAGGGAAGCAGCTTGGAATTAAGGAGGAATTTCCTAAGAGTGAGGACAATTAACCAGTGGAACTGCTTGCCACCAGAAGTTGTGGGCCCTCTGTCCAGAGACTGGACAGCCATTTGTCCAGAATGATATAGGATCTCTTTGTGGGAGGAGGTTGGACTAGTAGACCTCCAAGGTCCCTTTCCACTCCGTTATTCTGTTAAGAGAAGAATTTGTTTGGAGAATAGTATACAAAGCTCTGTTCTGGCTGCAACAAACTCAGGAAGGAATTATTAAATATTCAAAGAGTGCTTTGAAGAGTGCTTTTTTTCAAAGTGCTTTGAACTCGTTGATAAATGAGTTACTAATGCAATTTTCAGAAAGTACAGAATTTCCAGAAATTTCCACGAAATGCCAAAATCTGGGTTCATTCTGCATCTGCAACATGATTTGAGTGCCAATACCCGATGCTTCACTTCCCACCTCTCTTCTGGAGCTAAGCCAAGTCCCCCCCTTTCCTGAGACCTTTCGGCTGTTTTCACCGCTCCTGTTCCTGATTGACAGGTGGAGACCATTGGCGACGCCTACATGGTAGCTTCTGGGCTGCCGAAACGGAATGGGAAGCGACATGCGGGAGAGATAGCCAACATGTCCCTCGATATCCTCAGCGCGGTTGGTACTTTCAAAATGCGCCATATGCCAGACGTACCTGTCCGGATACGCATCGGCCTGCACTCCGGTAGGTCACCAGGACGGGGGTGGCAAGGCCGAAGGGTGTATTTTTATGGTAGCTCTGTGCCTTTCCCTTCCTTAAAAATAAGTTGAGTGCCAAAAAGCAGTTGAAACTTGCTCCTGACGTTTAAGAACTGAATTTGTCTGATGTCTTTGACAGGGCCCTGCGTGGCTGGCGTGGTGGGGCTGACGATGCCACGCTACTGTCTCTTTGGGGACACGGTCAACACTGCCTCGCGGATGGAGTCCACCGGCCTTCGTGAGTAATGCATCCTTGGGTTGTGGCCTGTTGGCCGCCGGCTCCTCCGGCAGGCGAATCAGAGGAGGAAGAGATGGAGGAGGCGGAGTCAACAGCCACCAGGTTTGGAGGTGGCTGATGAGGAACAGCTTCATCCAGTGCCTGACATACAGAAGGCAGAGGAGAGGAGAGCAATGGAAATCTATGGGCCGGTCCTCAGAACAGGAGTTCCAAGGGGGAAGAGGGAATGGAACTGGCAAAGGGAGAGAGAGAGAAGCGGAGCCTGGGCTGTCCATCAGCCTTCCATTGCAGAGTCAACAGCCCCCAGGTTTGGAGGTGGCTGATGAGGAAGAGGAGGAACAGCTGGGTCCAGTGCCTGACACATAGGTGCACAGAAGGCAGAGGAGAGGAGAGCAGTGGCAATCTATGGGCCGGTCCTTGGGGTGGAAGAGCCACCGCTACTAGCAAAGCCCCACCCTAGCTCTGGGGATAAAAGACAAGGGGCGGAAATGAATAGACGTAGCAGACACCTTGGGTTGGAAGGAGCTCCAATGGCCAAGTGTCCAGAGGGAAAACCCACCTAGGGAACATGGGGTGAACAAGTTTTGCAAATCCAGATGCAATCTTCTGCCGTGGACAAGACTGTTCATCTGCAGAGAGAAGGAGAGAGAGATGTAGATTGTTCTGTTCTTTGCATCTCCCCCAGGAGTGTTGGCGAGCCAATCAAGAGGAGAGATCAAGCAGGCAATGAGCCCTCTTGTGTTTACTCAATGAGTCCAGGCTAATTCCCTGTTTGATCTCTCCTCCTGACTGGCTCGCCAACACTCCTGGAGGTGAAGTGAAGGAGATGATGATCTACAACTCTCTCCCTGCAGACAAACAAACTGTGCTGTCCAAAGCTGGGAATTAGTCCTCTTGTGTTTATGTTCTGATCCAGCTCCCAAACACGACCACTGGTTGAAGTTAAAGATTCCTTTATTGGGAGCGCCAGCAGCCCTGGAAAAATGTTTCTCTCTCACCTCAGGCTAACAAGTCTGTCCGGCAGGGAGATGAATAGTTGTCTGTCACATCTATTCATCTTTGCCCCCCGCCTTTTAGCCCCAGAGCTAGGGTGGGGCTTCGCTAGCAGTGGTGGCTCTTGCATCCCAAGGACCGGCCCATAGATTTCCACTCCTCTCCTCAGCCTTCTGCGCATCTGCAGGTCAGGCACTGTACCCAGCTGTTCCTCCTCTTCCTCACCAGCCACCTCCAGACTTGGGGGCTGTTGGCTCTCCATCCGCCTCTGGCTCTCTCTCTCTCTGACAGCTTCATTCCGTCTTCCCCCTCGGAGGTCTCAGGTTGCCTTGATGCTCGCCCTGAGTCCCATGCCGCCTCCTCATCTGATTCAGTTGCCGGAGGGATCAGTGGCCAACACAACAGTTTACTTAATGAGCCCAGACTAATTCTCTGCTTGTTCTCTTCTGCTGAACCTCTTCTGAATGCCTTTGTTCTAGTTTACTTTGTTGTCATTGCACCTTGTACAACGAAATCAAACACCATCTTCAGTGTACATCATGACCATGAGCATGAAAATAAACACAAACACACATCCTTCACCCTTCACACATTGAACCAGAAACCCCCAACACTGCACTATACAGCAGAATTCAAAAGAGCTTCTGTCCTGGGATAGAAGCTGTTTTTCAGCCTATTTGTCCTTGTTTTTATTATTCTGTACCATCTGCCAGATGGTAATAATTTAAAAAAAGGGTTCCCAGAATGAGATGGATCTTTGAGAATGTTTTGAACTTTCTTAAGGCAGCGGGAGCTATAAAGCTCTTCCAAAGAGGGGAGAGGGCAAGCAATGATCTTCTGGACAATGATATTAACCCTCTGGAGTGCTGTCCTATCTGCCACTGTGCAATTGGCAAACCATACAGAGGTGCAGTATGTTAAAATGCTCTCTATGGTGCAGCAGTAGAAGGTCACCAACAGTTTCTCATTCAGTTGTTTCCTGAGAAGCCTCAGGTAGTATAATCTCTGCTGGGCCCTTTTGACCAGGACTGCAATGTGAGCCCCCCAGGTCAGGTCCTCTTTTAGGGTAACACCCAGAAACTTAAAACTGGCCACTTGCTCCCCTCGGTCTCCATTGATAAGCAAGGGCTGGATGTCTGGTCTGTTCCTTTTATAATCCACTATCAGCTCCTTGGTCTTATTGGTGTTGAGGACCAAGTTGTTGTCTCCACACTATGAAAGCAACCGGTCCACCTCATCTCGGTAGGCAGACTCATCCCCCCCAGAGATAAGTCCCACCACTGTTGTATTATCTGCAAATTTAGCAATAGTATTACTAGCGTGAGTGGGAATGCAGTCTTGCCCATAAAGAGTATAGAGTAAGGGACTCAACATGCAACCCTGTGGTGTACCAGTGTTAAGAATAAGGGCTGAAGAGGTATGATTACCTAATCTGACCCTCTGTGAGCGGCCAGACAGGAAATCCATAATCCAAAGGCAGATTGAATTAGAAAGCTTAAGGTCCAGAAGTTTAGACACTAGTCTATGTGGAAGAATTGTGATAAACGCAGAACTAAAATCCACAAAAACCATCCTCACATAGCCCTCCCGCTGTTCTAGATGAGTCAGAGCAGTGTGAAGAGTGATGGCTATAGCGTCCTCTGTAGATCTATTTTGTCTGTATGCAAACTGGTGTTTATCAAATGTATGCGGAAGACCAGAAATGATGTGCTGGCAGACCAATTTCTCAAAGCACTTCATGATAATTTGAGTCTTATTATAAAAAGCTCAACTGTATCTCTGCTTGGTTTGGTGGCCGCAGTGCCTCAGATAGAAAGTCCCATATAGAGAGTGGTGAGGACAGTAGATAGAAAGTCCCTACAGAGAGTGGTGAGGACAGCGGAGATGATTATAGTAAGCTCACTTCCCATTATTCAAAATGTTACTTATAAGCACTATGTGCTTAAAGCTCAAAGCCTTCTTAGAAACCTCACACACCCACTTTACGGCCTGTTTCTGTGGCTCCCCTCTGGGAGGAGGTTTCGAAGTCTTTCTAGCGTAGGGGGTGTCAAACTTGATTTCATTGAGGACCACGCCATGGTTGTGTTTGGCCTTGGGGACCAGGTGGCTAGCTCGACAACACTCGTGTCGGGGGCACCTGTGGTGACTCAAGTGCTCTGCCAGTGAAAACGGAGCTCGGGAGGAGTGTGTGCGGCCCTTCCAAACTCCGTTTTCGCTGGCAGACGCACTATGGACCGATCCTTTGCTCTTTTCAGGACAGCCCCGTAGGCCATATCTAAGCACCCTGTGGGCTGGATCTGGCCCATGAGCCTTGAATTCTAAATTCTAAGTCTTACCTACCCTGTTTCCCCAAAAACGCGGCCTACCCTGAAAGTAAAGTCCTAGCTTGATTTTTTTACACGTGCACCCAATATAAGCCCTACCCCCCCAAATAAGCCCTAATTAAGATCCCACCCACTTGAGTGCATGGGTAAAAATTAAGGGACGGGGGATGGGGGAATCTGCCCTACTACTTACCTTTGGACAGTTGTAGCCAGGCCTTGCACACCCCGACACCTGCCTGGCCGGCCCATTTCTTCTGCAGCCAGCAAGGTTGGCAAGGCTCTCCTGAAGGCCTCTGGAGCTGAGAACAAAGCTCAGGATCGATCCAGAGGTCCATTATCGGCTGCTGAGGCCTTCAGGAAAGCCTTGCCAGCTGCAGAAGAATAAGTTCCTGAAGGCCTCTGACAGTGAAAAAGAGGCCAGGGGCGACACACACGTGAGGTTAGTCAGTAGATGACATTCCCCGAAAATAAGACCTGGCGCCATTTTTGGTGGGGGAAAAAATAAGACTGTGTCTTATTTTTGGGGAAACACGGTAGTCTCTCCCAGGCAGACATTCTGGGAAGATTCCTGTACTATAGGCAGAGAACAATGAAGTAGCTAGTTTGAACTCTACGCATGTAGATCTGGTTGTTCAAACCTGACAAGGAGAGTCTGTGGGAGAGTGCCAAAATTCACAACAAGATGGTTGTGGCCGCACAATGGAAGCCCTGCTTCTTTTAATGTGGGACCCTGCAGCCACCATCACAATTTTTTCTGAACCACCTCGTACCACCCTGGCCATCTAAGGTTGGGTTGAGGTCCACTTTAAACTCGGTGTGTTTTGCCCAAGGATGTGTTGGTGTTGTGTCATTTTTGCAGCTTATCGAATCCACGTCAACCTGCGGACGGTGGAGATCCTGCACGCCCTCAAAGAAGGTTACAAGCTCGACTTACGGGGGAAGACGGAGCTGAAGGTATCACAAAATTGTATTTCAAATGCATACATTAAGCAATAATTCAGACAGAGAAAGAGAGAGTGAGAAAAAGATGAAAATTTGCTAAGAAACACATTGTGTACCAGACCAAAAACACAAAAACAAGGGCTAAGAGATCCTTGGTGTTCTCTGAGCTGGGTGGTTTTCTTGCAGATGTTTCATGATCCAACTAGGTAACACCATCAGTGCTAGAAGGGAGTGGGGTTTGGAGCAGGAGTGGGATTCAAATTTTTTAACAACCAGTTCTGTGGGTGTGGCTTAGTTGGTGGGCGTGGCTTGGTGTTCATGTTATTGGCTGGGCATGGCCAACTCAATATCACTCACATCGAGGCACGCATCTCCTCGCCTGGCCTCTCATGACAGTGGGGAATGCTGCAACAGTCGTAAGTGTGAAAAATGGTCATAAGTCACTTTTTTCAGTGCCCTTGTAACTTTGAATGGTCCCTCCACATAAGCAAAGTACCAGGAAAGGAGGAAAAAAAACCTCCAGAGACGTTCCTGAGACAGGAAGTCTAGTCCTGCCAAGAATGCAATAAGGGTTAACGCAGAGGCAGTTTCTGTAAGCAACACCAGAATGTTTCCTTCCTGCCTTCCTTACAGGATTAGGCCAGTAATTTCTTCTAACAACCGGTTCTCCGAACTGCTTAGAATGTTAACAACCGGCTCTAGCAAATAGGTGCGAACTGGTAGAATCCCACCCCTGATTTGTGGAAGAAGATGAAGGGGAGGAGGAAGAGGAGGAGGAAGAGGACTGTGGGGTTTGCATTTAGACATTTCATTACCTAACCAGGTAACATCATCAGTGCTAGAAAGGAGTGGGGTTTGCAAAGTGGAAGAAGGTGAAGGGGAGGAGGAGGAGGAGCAGGAGGAGGAAGGGGGAGGAGAAGGAGGAAGAGGGGAGGGGGAGGAGGAGTTTAACAACAGAACGAAGCCATAAAGAACACCCCAGTTAAGGAACAACCAACTCAGACAATCAATGAAATGATAAACAACAATCTATTCAATGGACCACGAAGAACATCCCCATAATAGAGAGCAAACTAGAGGTGGTATTCAGCGGGTTCTGATCAGTTCTAGAGAACCGGTCGCGGAAATTTTGAGTAGTTCGGAGAACCGGCAAACACCTCCTCTGATTGGAGATTTTGCTGTATCCTTCCCCTGCCACGCCCACCAAGCCACACCCACAGAACCGGTAGTAAAAAAAAAAAAATTGAATTCCACCACTGGAGCAAACCCTTCTAGCTCTGATGATGTTCCCTAGTTGGGTCGGGAAATGTCTGCAAGACAGCCATCAATTTCAAAGAGCGCCAAGGACCCCACAGTCCTCTTCCTCCTCCTCCTCTTTTTCTTCCTCTTTCTCCTCCTCCTCTTGCTCTTCCTCCTCCTCCTCCTCTCCACAAACCTCACTCCCTTCTAGCACTGACGATGTTCTCTAGCCGGGTCACAAAATGTCTCCAAGAAAACCAGCTAGCTCAGAGAGCGTTAAAGACCCCCCCACCGTTCACCCTGAGCTACAACTATCCTCTTCTATATCATCTTCTATAAGGAACAAAATAATAATAATAATAATTAAGGAACGTGCCTGCGGACCTGTAGGCAAACTTTGGAGAAACGACTAAAAATAAATGACAGGAGGTTGCTGAAACGGGGGGAAACCAATGAGGTTGGAGGGGTGGGTGGGAAGAAATCAGCCATGTTTAATTTTACCTTGATCGGATGCATCTCGCTTCCTCTTTAGGGAAAAGGCACGGAAGACACTTATTGGCTCATCGGTCGCGACGGCTTCACCAAACCTATTCCTACTCCCCCAGACCTGAAGCCGGGGTGAGAGGGCACCTCCTATGGAAAAGGATCTGGTTTCACCAAGAGTCGGGGCAGTGATTGGGGCAATCGGTCAGAATAGAGCTGGAAAGGGACCTTAGAGGTCTTCTAGTCCAACCCCCCGGCTCAGGCAGGAGACCCTAGACCACTTGAGACAAATATGCAATATAATCAGAATAGAGCTGGAAAGGGACCTTGGAGGTCTTCTAGTCCAACCCCCGGCTCAGGCAGGAGACCCTAGACCACTTGAGACAAATATGTAATATAATCAGAATAGACCTGGAAAGGGACCTTGGTGGTCTTCTTGTATTCTGGAATAGCCTAGGATCTCCTGCTTGTACAGGAGGCTGGACTAGAAGACCTCCAAGGTGCCTTCCAACTCTGTTATTCCGTTCTTTTCTATTAGATAGGGCTCCCTCTACAACTTGGGTGGTACAGTGGCCTGGAGGTGGAGCTCTCGCCTCACAATCAGGAGGCTGCGAGTTCGATCCTAGGCAGAGGCAGATATTTCTCTGAGAACGTATCTGCTGAACAAAACTCCGCATCGGTGACAGGAAAGGGCATCCGGCCAGTAAACACTCAGCTCTCCATTCCGTTGCCCAGAGTCCCACCTTGCAAGGGATTATGGGGTCGTTAAAAGAGTTTAGGGCTCAAAAAGAGGTACGGACTCCTAGAATCAAGAAATGGAAGAGACTTGACCCATCTAGTCTGACCCACTCCTGAGCCTCTCTCAAGAGGGAGGCCGTTCCACGGCTTCAGAGTCCTGAAATGCCTCCTTGTTTTGAGTTTGCATCTCTACAAATGTCCATTTGTTGTTGTTGTTGTTGTTGTCTGTGGAGATTCCCCATCCTTCAGTTCAGGGTTGTCCCCCAAGGTGCTTTTTCAGAAGGCAAGTGGACTTTGTTAGACTTTGTCCACTTCTGTTTTGTGTTCCATCTCTTCTGTGGACACCTGGGTGACTCAATACACACCCTTATGGACATACCCTTCAGGTCTTGGAAGCTGGGTATCGTGCAGGGGTGCGATTCAACCAGCGAAACAACCCATTCGGCGAGCATGTGCTTTGTGCACGTATGTGCGCCGAGCGTTTGCTACTGACCTCCAACAATCCCTGTCTCTTAAACAGCTGGCACGCGGCAATCCACTGTGCCACACGAATCAGCGGAGCTTGGAAAACAGGGTATAAAAGCATAGCCTACAGTCCAGGCAGGCAGGTGGGCCCAACAGCTGATCGTGGGAGCAAACCCAACCAGTTCGCTCTCATAGCCTACAGTCCAGGCAACAGCTGATCGTGGGAGCAAACCCAACCAGTTCGCTCTCATAGCCTACAGTCCAGGCAACAGCTGATCGTGGGAGCAAACCCAACCAGTTCGCTCTCA